TCAATAATCCATATTCAATTATTACAATGATCAACTTGAAATGTATTTTAGGTCTTCAAAAGTGCAAACGCTGATTTCAATGGAACAAAACTTAAATAAAGCCAGATCCAAACTGCAGTACTATTATTTTCAAAGTACTTCAAATCAGGTGACATTGAAATACATTGAATAGGTTATTAGGAAAGATGCGAACAAATATTCCAGCTGTGACATACAATAGGTCAAAAGTAATACGATACCTACACTCAAAACAATACTCATGAAAAAATACTTATTTTGTTACAGCCCTAATGATTACTCTGTGCCATTTAAGTTATTTTTTTACATTTTCAAGAATGTTTGTCCTGCTTTAGAGTTATTCCTCCTTATTCAGCAAATGTATAGTTCTGTTTCAGACCTATATGGTTTATGGGAAACCTTTCAGAAGCGTGTATTCAATGTTTCTCTCCGAATGATTATGGCCCAAACAATTGCTTCGTTTCCACAAATCAGTCCTGGGATAAATATTAGAAAAAAGACGTTATCCAGGGCTCGTTGTTTTCCCCAAACAATTTTGCAAGATGTGGCATTTCTGATTCTTTCTTTCTGTCTTTATTGTTGTCTTAGGGCGGTTTTATATTTATATATTTAAAGTAGGAATATGTAAGATTTACATGTAATGTCATCATTAAAATGCCAAAATAAGTCAAAAGGCATTAACAAAACAAGCGTTTTTCCAATACTTCTTTAACTGATAACAGTAGTTCAGCCGAGATATTTGGATTTCAAAATTAGTTTTACAGCCCTTAAATCTTGTTATTTTCATTTCGATGTCCTGCCCTTCACCGTTTTACCAATCAGAAAGTCTGTGATCCAGGCGCCAGAACTCCCTGCGTCGAGCTAATGTCACTGGTAAAGTACCATGTGGTAAAGTACCATGTGGTAAAGTACCATGTGGTAAAGTACCATTTGGTAAAGTACCATGTGGCCGCAGAAGTAAAAAAGGTCTCGTTGTGATTCTAAAATCATTAATGACAACCCAAGGGAAAAAACCAAAGATTTCTATCTTTGTGAAAAATGTGTTGTTTATAGATTTGTTGTTGACAAAACTCTTAATTCAGATGTTATGGTCCCAGCTGGATTCGTCTGCATATCTGGCAACCTGAGTCAAGGAGATTGCAGTACCACTTTTGGCCAGATGTTTACATACTGCTCCTTTAATGTACTGTGATTATTTACTTTAATGCCTTGTGAGACTGTTCTGTTTAGTTCTGCACTTTGAACTGCCTTGTGCATGAATTATGCTATACAAATAGACTTGCCTTCCTTATTAGAATGAACCACAGCGTGAAAAGCAGACCAGACATTTAAGCAAATTGATTTATCTCCGACTCCTCCACCCCCGAGCGTCCGAGCCGTTCATTATGTGCACTGCTACTCAACATTTACACAATCAAACATAAGACTCCGTTTCTACTGCACTTTTATTTGAACAGTGTGTGTGCGATAAGCGAGGCCTGAGAGCTCTGGGGTTATGGCTCCTATTGTACACGCTGCAAAAACCAGAACAAGTTGACACGGTGCTTTTGGACTCCATTCCTGATTTATTCACACCATTCCTGAAAAGCATCCAAATACTTTTTTCTTTCCAATCCACAAACTCCCTGGTGGTAGAAGTCACACATGTGCATTGGACAATTTGTTTTACAGTTTATAAGCAGGTAGTGTGTGAAAAGGCTCACTTGTGCGTCTTATCTTGTTTAGTGGATGAATGGGTTTTTAAACACTTAGTTTTATCTGACTGAGGGCTATTTGGAGGCGGCTCTTTAAAAATGATAGGGCAGACTGAAGGGCTCCCGAGTTCCCCAAAACACTTGGCTCTTTTCCTCGTTATTCACAAAATAAATACATGACCAGGCTGAAAATACAAAATACACAAAGATACATCCATTGCTTCATTTCCAGACATTATCAGGGTGTGATTCATACCAAAGTAATGCAAATGCTCGCTCTACTAATGGGCCTTAAACTGCTGGCTTGTGTATTGCTCTCACTCCGAAGGTAAAGGCACATTAGCTTAAATAGTGTATTGGAAGATCCAGAGGGATGGATTTTTATGGGGAATAAACATCTGTTCAGTGTAGTGCATTATGAAAACATTGCGTTAACCGGATCACTACCTTTCTAAGCTATTACCATTACACAGGAGTATGAGTCTGAAAAACACGGATCCCGTCCCTTAGCCTTTCTCTTGGAGTTTTGTTTTTATGTTAAGTTTTAGTTTATTGACCCCATGGGGAGACTTGTCCTCTGCATATGACCCATCCTGAGTGCAGCGCCCGGGGACCCATCTCCAGACGCTGATGCTCTTATAGGATTTGAGCAAATGTACATGATTTTAGTGGTAGGGGAAACCGGAGCACCCAGAGGAAACGTCCGGGCAGAACATGCAAAAAAAGGCCATGTTCCGACAGAGATTCAAACCCAGGACCTTCTGCCTGAGAAGTGAGGGGGCTGAGTGGTAATGAGAGCAGAACAGACCAGCTCACAGGGACAGGGGGCGGGTGAGAACAAACTCAAGACGAAAATTTGGAGAAAACATTTGAACTCCTTGTATTTTCCCTTCTGATATCCATCCATTACTTTCTTTGACTTCATCCTTTGCAGAGATGCCCAGACTTCTCCATGGCACACTTCCTCTTTGTGTCCCCTCAATATTGTTGTGTGGAGTGACTTTTTGAAATGGGTTTGTTGAATATGTTTTCACTGTTGCTTCTTGTTGTGTTTGTTGACGTCCAATATCCATCCTCACTGTAAACCCTGACAAGTAAAGTTTACTTGAAAAAACCTTGGAAATAAATTGCATATTAACTTCACTTGAATTCCTCGAGTATATCTGATATTACCAAGTAAACTCAGGTGATTGCGATAAAGATTAAATTTCAACTCATGTTCGGACCGGAATTCGTACTCACAACCTTGTAGGAGGTAGTGTGCTACCCACTCAGCCACCGGGCCACAAGTCAAAATGTCAAAAGTGAGGCTTACTTGAACAGAGACAGTTCAATTCAAAGAAAATCCTTAGTGATATAGGCAAGCTTTAAATAAACTTACAATAAATTAGTAATATTCACTTACTGGGAAAAATCTATTTAAAATAACTTTGATATTTGAAGTACGATTGAAGTTAGGGTTTACAGTGCTGTTCAAACCTTCTAATATACAAGATCAACTCTGAAAATTAAAATATCGTTCAAAGATGTATCTACTTGGTTGATAAAGAAAACCCCAAATAAAACACAAGCTGTACAAATGTGGATATTTTGAAAATGGACAGTGACCCACAATCATCAAGGATTGGCATATCTCACTTTGCGTGTAATTGGCCTATATAGCAAATATCGGTTTCACATTTTACGTTGGACATGAACTTTTGAACAACCTTCTTTTGTACTGTACACATACATTTATTCATACTTGGACCCACAAGAAACAGCACATAATTCAGATTCAACATAATTGCCTGTTGATCCCAAACCACCGTTCACTCTTCAATGCGATTCTAAAAAACAACCTAACAATGATTACGTGCATTGTTCTCACATGAATCTAAAATGCGATTAAAAAAGGTTCACGATATTCCAAGAGACAGTGGTTCAGACAAACGAGATAAAGCCGGCCGATTGCAGCTCATATAGGCCATGCCAGTCTGTGTCATTGTGATATGACATAATGGCACAAGGCGATAACTCTCCCAAAACACAAAAACAATTCAAAACAGCAGATTAAAACCTTCACGTTTGTGTGGATTAGAGCTGCAAGTGGGTTTGGGTTAAGACCGCAGAGACCTGGAACAACAGGGAGGTACACGGTGATGGTAGCAAAGGTTGGTTTTACACCTGTCCAAGCGTTTAATCATCTACCACTTCAAACAGACTGAGCTACAACTCCCAGAAGCCTTTGCAGCAAGCCCTTCTCCACATGAGCCGAATGTGGGAAACGTTAATTTAGAAGTTAATAGATATATGACAAGGATCAGAAGAATGGAGGTTTTGTACTTGTAGATTCAAAGTATTTATTTTTTATTTTTTTATGGACCAGTTTGATTGAGTCTGAAATAAAGAACAATATTTGCTTAAAGGGTTTGGGTTGGTATAACTTTTGTGATCAAAACAGCCCTTTCCCCTATTTTCTGCCAACAAGAAAAAGCTGTTTTTTTAATTACACAAAATAAACTTGAATTAAACGTAACAACAAATACAACAAACAGAAATACTATGAATGAATATAGGAAATATAATGGCAGGCCTGAGAGAATAGTGACATTTGATGTGCCACTATGTTAGGCCACCATGGATCCTAACATATAAATTATATTTAAAAAAACAGATTTATTTTTAAAGGCCAAAGTAACCGTGATGAGACTGAATAAAACACGTGTCCTGCAAGATATTTTTGCAATGTATAAACTTGTCTCTCATCCATGTGATTATATATTAATATTTACAGTCTATGGCTCAAAAGCGAAAGGCCACTCAAAAACCCTTCCCTGATCAAATTAATAATGTGAAAGTCTGCAGAAAAAGCAACAGGAGTCAATAATAAATGCAATACGACATTTATCACCATTGGCCAATATTATAAGAGTTGAATTGTGCGTTTTTTCTCCTTATTTTTTATGTTGCAGGATTATGCATGGGCACATGATTCTCCCATTCTGACAGATTCCACAGCAGTATTATCAGGGCTCCCTCGACTCTATTCTGAAGTAATAGTGTATCTTTTATCTCCAAGTGCACATACGGCACTGACACCTGGAGAAGTGGCTATTAGACATAAGAACAAACAAACAGCCGCTCTGATAAAACGAGAAACGAGCACATAGAGGCGAGTCCCCGCGTATATATGGACTGTTATAAACGCGGGGTCGTCGTGTTGATCGCCGGGGACATGGCCGAAAACGCAGTGAGATAAATGTAACTCGATTAGCGGCCTGAGACTCAGGCCCATGTCTCTGGATAATGTGGAGACAGGGCGGCGTCCTGCCACTTTTCCTCCCTGTGTCAAAGCCGCACACTTTGACATCACAACGAAAACACCTCATTCATCACACCCGGACCTCAGCCCGGACTTCAGCCTTAGCTCAGCCTGGATTCAGCCTGGATCTCAGTCTGGAGGGGGTCTGCGCAAAAACAACAGCTCTGTACAGTCTCCGTGACCTGCGCACTCAGGCCATGGGGCAGCACACGGAGAGCCAAGGGCCGCGGACTCTGACCTGCCACAATGTGAGGGTGGCACAACAAAGATAAAAACATAAATATACATGATTAAGCGAAAAATAATGTCGAAATAACGTGTTTATGTTTATTTTGCTGCTGTTTATTATCTTTATAGCCATTTATTTATATCTTTAAAAATAAAAAAATTAACATCGAATCAACAGCTACATTGGACAGACCAGATGCCAAAAGAGTTTCAGTATTTGTTTTATTTGCCCTAATAACAAAGTGCAGTTCACAACAATACATATTTAGGCCTATTTATCTCTGAGCCTATAGATATTCTTGCATTCACATAAATACAGCTTTTATTGGCTATACATAAATATATACGACTACACACACACATGCACACGCACGCACACACCCACCCACACACGCACACACACGCACCCGCACGCGCACCCCCCCCCCTCCCCCTCCCCCCCCCACACACACACACACTTCAATCTTGTATAAACCAAATTGTAGGGCATGATGTGGAATATTACGGTTATGATACAGACATTTTTGCAATATGTCCTATAAATCAAACGGAGGAAGTGTAATTAATCATATGTTCCATCAGCAAACATGTTCTGGGATTCAGCTTTAAAATAAAATTTAAACTCTCTGTAAAAAAAAAAAATATATATATATACATAAGTCCTTATACACGTAAAATTAGGCCTTATACTAAATTAGGTCAATATGTTTTTTGCTTTGTTTTTTTCACAGAGTATTAATATTGGGGCAGTAAAGTGCTGTCTTCGTGAACACGTGTCAGAGCTGCAGCCGTAAATAAATGATTCAATTGACACCTCTGACTTTTGATCACTTGCACGTTGTTTATTGGGCCTGAGCGAATCATCCGCGTTCAAAGCCGCCGTGACTGTGATTCTCCGCAGCTGAAGACTTTTAATCCTCCATACAGGCGTCTGCTAAATAAACTAATTAACAGGGCCCTTTGTTAGTCGGCACGGTGGGCGGCGGGTGGCTGAGTGCAGCACTCTCGCCTCTCAGCAAGAAGGTCCTGGGTTCAAATCCCGGCCGGACCAGGGCCTTTCTGAGTGGAGTTTGCATGTTCTCCCCGTGTCTGCGTAGGTTTCCTCCGGGTGCTCCGGTTTCCCCTACCACTAAAAATATGTCCAATAGTTCTAGCATGCGCCTCCTGTACTGGCGACCCCACCCCCATCTCTGTGTGGAGTGAGAGACAAATGCCCAAAATTAACAATTGTAAACCGCTTTGAGACTCAGATCTGCAGTGAAAAGGCGGTATATAAATAAAAACTTACTTACTTACTTACTTACTTAGTCGCAATGAGGGAGGAGAATAAACAAAGCGAACATGGACCAATAATCAACATAAAGGCAACTTCAGAGGGGCCAAACCAAGCTAGAAAGTTTACAAATATACAAGATAACATTTATAATTCTTTCACCATGTGTACAAGTTTGCAGAATATGTTTAAGTCAGAACAAATGGAAATAAATGGAATAGGAAAACGTGCAACTAATTACGGCGCTGTTCATTGTTATTGAAATATGCATTCCTGTTAAATGGCAAAACAATTGTTCTGATTCTGATGATAAATTATGTGGCTAAATTTAAGAAGATGGTGCTTTTAATTTCATTCTGTTAGGTAATAAGCCCCAGGAATAAAATAGACCAAAATAAAAGTTTATATTGGCTTTATTTTATGTTTTTATTGCACTGAAAAGGTAAAAACAATGTGAGTGCACACCTCTGTCCTGGAGCAGGGCCTCCTCCTGCTTATTATCCCATGGTAATATAGTTCCACAGTGTCATTAAACCATACATACATGTTCACTCTACACATGATATTAAGTTGCAAGTGACATTACGTCCAAAATGCTACACGGTGTTAGATTATTGAGATTACATTTGTTCGACTTCATCTTGTCTCAGAATCGAAATTGAAAGAACACACAAACATTGTAGTAAATTCAACAGGTAAAACAAAAATGTTTTTAATTCCGACGATTTCTCAACCCTAGACATGATCAAGAGGCGAAGCGTGATCGATCAGAGGAGTTCTCAGGCTGGCACCCCCACCACGTACAGAGCGCACAGGACGCACGGGATTGGTCAGCTTCACGCAGCCGCCGCCACCACAAGCGCCTCCTCCCATAAACTCCATCTGAGCGCACGCACCTAACTTTTACCATTAGTTCCAGGACAAGCAGCGAATCACTATTACCTTCTGCACGATCCATGGCACATGTTTAGCAGGTACGTGTTTGAAAAAGACAACTTTCTCTTTTCGTTTCTGTGTTTTTACGCGCGGGACAGAGCTGCGTCGTGCCTCGGTGCGGACAGACTCATTTCGGAGTATAGGTTTGTTTTATCGCCCTGTTAAGCCAGCCTCTCGCTCTTATCTGTTCAGGTTCTTATCAAACGGTTATCTCATGGCTGTGAAGACATATTGCGTTTTGTTTCCTATCTCATGTGTGTGTGTGCATGTGTACGCATTGGTGTGTGCTGTTATGTGGGAGGACAGTGATTTGACACGGATGGATCCAGCGCCTCTTAAGACGCTTATAGGACCTATGGCGATTAGTGTGTTTTTATTACTGAACTAACTCCCTGCCTTAATGCTTTGAACGAATAATCTGAGTTAGCTTTTAGAATAAATAATCATTTGGTTTATGAGTGTTCACCGGCTGATCGCTTCTCTAAAACTGGATCTCTCCTGTTGTAGGGTGGACTCGTCCCTGAACATAATTAACCCTTCCGTGTTTGGAAATATTCCTGGATGGACCTGGCCGATAACAGCTGGTCCATGGTTAAGCGCGAAGTGTCGAGCAGCCCTGGATCTCCGGCTGAGAGTTACCTGTCTGGAGACAGGAGAGACGGCCCCGCGGCGGATGAGCTCCGATCCGCCGTGTCCCACAGCGAGCTGGACGCACTGGGGCACAGGCGACACTCCTACGTCCACTTTGGACACCACCACAACAATGGGCTGGGCTCTGAGGACATGCCTCTGTTTACGGACTTAGACCAGGGCAGCAAACTGGTGCTGTCCGGCTCCACGCACAAAACTGGCCTTCTCGTGGACCCCAGTGAAATGTACCAGACACTGGCCATCGCCGCCGCGCAAACGCCCACCGGATACGAGTCCTCCTCCGGGGGCTACAGCATGCACTCCAGCCCCAACTCCCCCGTGTACGTGCCCAGCTCCCGCGTGGGGTCCATGATCCCCAACCTATCCTACCTGCAGGCCGGGGGCACGCAGCCCAGTCATGTGTCCAGTCACTCGGTCTGGTCCCAGTCCGCACCAGAGAGCCCCTCATACAGCACGAGCAGCCCACATGCCACCAGCCGCTTCCACTATCCCCCCAGTCCCCCCATGAGCAACGGCACGTCCCGGGAATCAGCCTACAGCAACAGTCTGAACGTGGGCAGCAGGGACCAGTACAGCCTGTCCCGGGGCCTCAGCGGGACCTACGCCAGCCCATACTCCCCCTACGTGACCCCGCAGTTGTCCCAGCTGCCCTCGCCCTGGACCAGTGGGCCCTTCGACAACAGCATGCTGCACACGCTGCAGAGCAGAGGCGCGCCCCTCATCAGAGGCCCCAGTGGAGGTGAGCGGCTCTCTGACATGCGTCCTCTTGTTTGTGCTTTCATTCTTCATTCACTTCATGTCTTAAAAATATCTTTGCTGCAACGAGAAATTATCAATTAAAATGGTTGGTCACGAGTGTGAAAAAATTAAACAAAATATATAAATATATATCGATATATTTTACTTTACAAATTACAAATTAAGTTATATCCATAACAAGTTAATGAAATATATGCCCATGAACAGAGTCAGTTCAAAAGATAGAACAGATGTCATGTTCTCTTATTTTTTAAATTAATTTATGAAAACCCTCCGACATTTGCCATAATTGTTTTCATTTCGGACTAGCTCCTACATCATTAGTCTTGATAAAGCTGAACATGTTCTGCGTGTGTGACATGTTGTTGAATTCCCCGTTGTTGCTTTAGGGTTAGGGTTATTTATGTGACTTGTTGCTGATTATTCTGGTTCTTTCTTCAGTCTCGGAGCTGCTGGATGACATGGGCGAGAGTCGTGAGTGTGTGAACTGCGGCTCTATCTCCACTCCGCTCTGGAGGCGCGACGGCACCGGACACTTTCTGTGCAACGCGTGCGGCCTGTACAGCAAAATGAACGGACTGAGCAGACCGCTCATCAAGCCGCAGAAGCGCACGGTGAGTGTCACCTCTGACACATGCACAGTTACAGTCTGGAAAAGCATCAAGGCCTCATTTATATTCAGCCCGTAAACAGACGCTAATGTCTTATATTTTATTATTCAGTCATTTACAACCCATTCATCAGCACGTGGTTAAAAAGAGAGCATTAATGAAATGCACTATATGCATCGCATTGAAATCGATGTTTTGTTAAAAAGACACGTGTATATATATTATTAACTCACGTATTTATGCACATATGTGCAACCAAGGGGTGCCCTGTTTATAATGGGAAATAGAGTTTGAATGAGTCCATTGTGGCCATATTAGCGAAGTGGCTTTGGAGCAAACCCTGCATTGACCTGTCAGTATTACTTCCTGATGTGAATAATCCCTGTAATGGTTGTATGTTGTTATATGTCACAGTCCACGTCCAGAAGAATCGGGTTGTCCTGCGCAAACTGCCAGACGAGCACCACCACTTTGTGGCGCAGAAACGCAGAGGGAGAACCCGTGTGTAACGCCTGTGGCCTCTACACCAAACTACACGGGGTCAGTATCATGTCTATATAACGTTATGGATGAATCTCAAACATTTATCCGTTATTACTTTCACAGTTTTGGATAATGTGTTTTTTTCCTGAAAACTTTCAGTTAAGATAAAAAATAAAAAAATTACTGGGTTTGCACATTAAAAAGAATTTGATTAATTTTAATGTCATTCTTGCAGGTTCCTCGACCACTTGCAATGAAAAAAGAAGGAATCCAGACGAGAAAAAGAAAACCCAAAACACTAAATAAATCCAAAGGTTCCTCTGGTGAGTCAAAATCCACAATCGCTTAAACTTATATTTTCCTTTCAAAATGATAAAGGTAGTTCATCTAAATATTTATCTCTTTTTCTAGGAAGCAATAATAACACCGTCTCCATGACTCCCACGTCCACGTCTTCCTCCAACTCTGAGGACTGCTCCAAAACCAGCTCCCCCACCACACAGGTGAGACTTTTACACACACATATTATCAAATCATTTCTAACTGATGCCATTTCACCCTTAGTACAACTAGGAATTGTATTAACATATTAAATACAATTATTATGAAATGACTTAATGCTTTTCGTGGGCATCTGTGGGACAACAAATCTACATTAATAGCAACATTTTTATGTTTAAATTTCTCAACATGAGACATGACACCCTTCCCTCCTGACATCCATTTGTATTTATATATTAATTTATTACCAGGCAGTGTAAATTCAAAACAATAAAATTAATAAATTACTCATGCTTGTATATTGTCCGTTTCCGTCTTTAGTCTTCTTTCTCTGTCAAGGAATATAGGCTGAAAATATAAAAATGTGCATTTCATTGAGAAGGATCAGCCGCAGTGTTGTGTTGTGGTTTCTGTACTTGTCTCTCAAAATGTAAATTTAAATAATATGAAATGTCATGTGATAAAGAAAAAGACAGTGGACTCCTTAAACCAGCCACGTCAAAGTCAAGACCATTTCTTTTGGTCCCTGAAATGATTTTCAATTATCATTATCACGGTAACTTGCAGCATTGATGGTAAGGGGCTACTATGGCATGTTATAATTGATTTTAAAGCCTATTATCTAAGCAACCACATGATTGAATATGATAATAATAATAGTAATAATAATAATAATAATCATCATCTTTATTCCAGACTCAAGGCCCATATAAAAGACACCACAAAACACAAACTAAAAATAAAACAATTTCTTCTTCTTGTTATTTTTCTATTTAACTAGTAACACTCTTCCAATAAATATCTTCATAACGTTTGGCCCAGTTGTGGTTGATTTCAAATCTACAAGAAAATAATGTCTAAAACTAATGTCAAATACAACTAATTTGCCCAAAAGACGAGAATATGTATAAAAACAACAACAAAAAAACTGTTGTACCACCCGACCAAAATGTGTTTGACATACTTCAGACGGACGCTAAGATAATTAGTAATGTAATTAATGTATTGGTCAACTCCCCCTTATTCTCTGTGTTGGAACGGTTTGATTCTCTGATCTGTGTTGGTGAACTCAACAGTTTTTTAAAGTCCTCTGAGAAAACTGCTGTTGTGATGTAGATCTTTACACAAATAGATTGAAACAAAATGAAATTGAATGAAAATACTAGTGTTTTTTGTCGTTCTATCCACACATTCACACATTCACCCCTCTCTCCCTCTGCAGGTCAGCTCTTCAGTGCTGTCTAGTTCAGCGGAGGCCAGTGTGTCATCAGTGAAGTATTCGGGACAGGACGCTCTGTACACCAGCCTATCCCAGGAGGTGTCCTCTGTGCGGGGCGAGCCCTGGTGCCCCATGGCGTTGGCCTGACCCCCCTCTCCAAAACGAAAGACTTTAATCCCTGGTCCAAGCACACTGTCATCTGGAACTATCCCGGAGCATCTACTAGTTCTTTCCTTGTTCGGATTTCAAGAACCCGATCTTCTCCTCAAAGCGTGGAATACTTAACGTCCAGATTTGGGAAATTTTGGAGAAAAACGATTAAGGTTTTGTTTAGTTTTTTTCCCCCGTCGTTTTTGTTGTTGTTGCTGTGGACGACAAAGCAGCATTTCTCTCCCATACACACTTTTTCACATTGTACAGAGATTATTTTCTCTCGGATACAGACGCTGCCATTTCAAGCACGACTTTACGAACAAGCTATACTTCCCCCGCAACTGGAATCATGCAAAGACGACTTTTACAAAATCAAAAGGGATAAGAATAAATATATTTATAAATGTCCCACTGTTGGCTTTGATTGTGAATAAAGATATCATTATAGAGTAGAACCTCCTTTTGTGTTTCTTTGAAAAGCCAATTGTAATATGCACGTGAAAGCTCTTACTGGCTCAAACAGGGTATCAATGACTTCATCTTGTATAAATTATTTCCTTTTTTAAATAATCAACTTCCCCTGGCGTTCGTGTATCTGACATTACGGTACTATTCTTTGACATGTAAAGCAGTTGGCTTATTTGAACAGCCCATAATAAATAGCTGCCTTGTTACAAAGAGGACTGTTGCACTACGGGAACCTATGCTTTGACAATGCAAACACACTCTGGCATCACTACTATTTTAAAACAGGGGAGGAACAATCTATTGTGACTGGATTAACAGAGCAAAGGTGACACAAGCAAATAAAGTCAACAAAGTGATCTGTGAATATAATTTTGTCTGACAGTGGTCCCTCTGTGTGGAAATGTGGGGCTGAGACTTCCAGCTGAGGGGGTGGAGTCAAGCTTCCCCTTTCATTTCATGTTTAAATCAGCAACGATTTATTTTTGTTTTACCTCACACTTTTATTCAATAATCAGTGTATTTTTTTTCTGGAAGTATTTATTTTTTGAAAATATTTCATCAAAATTGTCTTTTCGCTTCTGGAGATTTATTTAATTTTTAGTCAAATAAACTGTCTTTGTGAAGCACATAACTTAATCACAAGTTGTTTTCTTTTCATATCTTGTGTAAACTGTTGTCAAATGAATCAATTAGTGTGGTTCAGTTGTGTTTGTACGATCACAAATCAAAGCTGTGTTCATAGAGGAGCAGACAGTAGTAGATTTCAGACTGACGACGCAGGTTTAATCATCCTTTAAACAAGACGAGACAAACTGGAAGTAATGAAAATATTTTAATTTATACTGCAGTGGAGTATGGAGACTATACTTCATGGATTCATATGAAGGCTTTATCATCAGATGTTAAGAGTTTGGAGTAACTAGTTATGTTTGTAATATATCACACTGATAAATTAACTTTGAATTAGTAATATCCTAGTTATAATTAAAGTAACTTAAGAAACATGCATATATTATGTATGCATGTTATGAATTGTGCACATTTTCTTTGTTTCCTCACTTTTTGCTATGAATGAGGACATAGACGATATATATCAGTAGTTTATATAACTTGTGTGCAACAGAAAAGAGCTTTAAATTCAACTTATTCTAGTATAGCCCTAAATCAGAACAGTAGTTATCTCGGAGGACTTTACAAAACTGTTGATTTCTCCGACACAGATCAGAGAATCAATCTGTTCCAACAGCTCCTGAAGCAGCAAACACTGTCACTGTGATATAATTAGTATCAAGTACCAAAAGTAGTTTGTTTAAACAGTTTTATAGTATTACAAATAGATGACCCTTTTAAGTAGCTTGTAATGTAAATATAAATGTAACATTTTAGAGTACCTTAACACTGATCATTATCATTAATCTCTTTTAAAAGTTGCAAGAGCTTAGAAACTTGATAATTGTCAACTTTGAACATGACAGAGACACACAACATCTTGCTCTTTTCGCTCCAAACTGTGTTCTTGTGCAATCCCGTGTGAGACACAGAAATAAGTCTTACAAATGCATTTCTCTTTTCTTTCTGCTGGCTCCTATACATTTCCCACATACATGCTCCATATTTCATTAAAGCTTCCTTTGTTGTCACTGACATGTTTTTAATGCTGGTCTTTACCACAATCCCTCATGCACTAAAGACTCCAAAGCCCAGAGCACTCTCCTGCGTCCTCCAAAGTAGCTGTCACACTGTTTACTGTAGGAGCCTTTGAGCGAGACGTGAAGGATTCTCAAGATGCTGAAGATTTACGTCAGGACTTAGTCTTATCAGTCTGCTCCCTCACGTATTGAGTTTATTGACCAGTGAGGAATTTGCAAGGTTGCACCACTACTCATGCACGGCTCTCGCTCTTCACACAATCAGAGAAATGCTTCAAATAATATTACAATATTGTCAGTTGCAAGTTCATTGATTTTTCTCTCATAAATTGCTGTAACACAAACTAAATGGTTCTTAATGAACGAGGTATGGATATAAAAGCACTGATCACACTCTACTAGCAGATGTTTACACAAGTGATTACGTTTCGGCCTTTATTTGTTAATTTAATCCTTTGATTTTGATTTGGACCCGACCAGAGATTTGGATTGTATCAGCAACATAGCCTGTATGGACAATGCTATGAAGCCCAATAGGGAAGAGCTCATGGACAAAGTTTTGCTCCAACTCGCTCTGGCTCCTGTTGACTTGGTGTTTGTATCTAGATGATGTCTTTGTAAATCCGGATACGAGCTACATAAGGTATGATCAATCAGATGCCTTCATTTGTGGGGAAATCTTAGGAACACGACTGTCGTTGTTACAGCACAAAAATAATAGCGTAGAAACGATTACCCTTATAAGGAAAGTGGCACCAGCTAGCATATGTTCAAATGGGCTACTTCCGCATTAAGGCTAACACTGTAGTGATACGTTAGTCCACTTCGGTCAATGATTGGCATATAACAAAGAATTATCACAACGGTATAATATTACGTGGAGTTTTGAAAAGACAAACGTTTTATCTTCAAGTTTTAAAAATTGTGCTATTGTGTCTTATTTTGCAAAACACCATTTGTTTTTTGCATGATATTATTCTTATACAAACTAACTTTGTGGCCATACCTGCATGCGATAACCAGATCCCGTCAGACCTCTGAAGCTGTGCAGGACAGAGCCCGGTTAGTACTTTGATGGTAGACCTCTGGGAACACCAGGTGCCACAGCAGAGCGGCTTTGGCTGTAAAGTGCCAAACTGTTGTTGTGTCCTTAGGCAAGACATGTCACCCACATTGCCTAGAATGAGTCTAGTGTGTATAAATGTTTGGTGGTGGTCAGAGGGGCCGATGGAGTGAAAGAGTAATGACCTGTGAGGCGTCTTTGAGTGTCCAGGAAAGCGTTGTATAAAACTGATGCATTTATTTATTTTCTTCTTGATTGAAGGTGTTACTTGATCAATCCGATAACAGTGGATTAAATGAAAACCATTGATGATTATAAAACGTTAAAGAGGTGAATATTGTGTGTGTGATGCATGTGTGAGGTGGACAGTGGCTCTGCAGGATTCCACAGAGACCAGAAGGAGGAAAGTTAAACAGAATCATCACAGAGATCCTCCCTCTGCGCTGAGCCGGGGTCCAGCGGGGCCGAGTTTACACACGCACAGAGGGAGTGAGTGCATTGATATGTTTAAGACCATATGTGGCCTGTGCATGCCGTTCACCTGTCAGACTGTACGAGGAGCACTGCGGACTATAAGCAGTATGTGTCATTCACCTTCAGAAATAATGAGCAATGTTAGTAACGCTGACAACGCACGTACAACGCCTGATGTTGTGTTGTGTACTTGAGCCCATTTTTGGAAAACATGGTCGTCTGATGAAGAAAAATATTAAACATATTATGTAAAATCACTTTTATTTTTGAGCTTTTAATCATGTTTCAACAATGGTACTTCATCAGAAACAAACCTGTTTTTAGATTCATCCATGCTAATATCAGGAACTTTGGGCACAAACATGTAACTCTGCCCCTTCTGTCTGCTCCTATCCTGTATTCTGATGTCATTGTACCTCTGACGTCACATTCTTAAAACAAAAGCATGGTCCATAAACTATTTTGGGTAATATCTTAAGCGGAATTATTGAAAAAAGAAAGAAAACTAATTCTACACCTCCCTCTTGTGGTAACATGGGGAGTTACAGGGCGATAACATTTTTCACCATTCGTACTTGTTTCACCATATATTTTCAACTGAAGATAATATTTAACATTCTCAATCATGAAATGACAAAGTAAATTGTCTCATTATCATTTGCAATGGCCAAAAAACACATGCAATAATACTCTATGTATTGATAATGCAAATACTTATGAAAAATACATACAGTACAGGTAAAGCTTAGCCAACAAAACCCACCAGCTGTTCTGCCACCAGTTTCGTTATCATTTTGTTTATTTCATTTTTTATACAGGCAAAAAACTATCAATGTAAATTTCTCCTTTGTGAGATAAATAAAGCACATCTTATCTCTTAATCAACATTAGTTTACCAAGTTTTGGTTTAGTCGACTTGTGGTGGCTCTGCATCCCTTACTCAGCAGCAGAAGTAACTCAGATGTAAACATGTTATAGTTAATCAGTTTGTGGAAGTTAAAAATGACTGTGAGTTTTATAAGTGTTTTGTGTTTTATGTTTGTGGTTTTAGCTCTGTTTTAGAGACACCAGCACTATCCAGTCTAGTGGCAACTGTATTAGATGTATTTTTATGAAGCAAAGCTAATGTAAGTCTGTCTATTCCCGTTGTTTGTGCAAGACGCAGACAAAAAAGACGCTCAGTTTCCTGGCTGTGAAGGCCGAGTTTGGCTTGCTCTTGATCTACGTTAACATACACCACGTATCCAACACATAGTGATAACCGTACCTCTGAATCATAGGCTAATCATTAATCACGGCTCCCGCTGTTCATGGTTCCAGCTTCCTATTTCATGCAAAAG